AGGGGCAGAGGGAGAGGGAGAGAATCTCAAGCAGGCTCCCCACTGAGCCGGGAGCCCCATGTGGGGCTTGATCTCAAGACCCTGAGATCCTAACCTGAGCCATAATCAAGAGTTGGACGCTTAACCGACTGAGCCACCCAGGCACCCCCATCCTATGACTGCTTCTTATAGTATCCTACAAGATACTGTCATTTTGCAGAGGTAATACCATTCTAATATCTTTAGGATAGGTTCTTTAGTTTTTTCCTCTTTGCTTCATTATCTTCATTTCTTTCATGTGTGTTCATGCAAAATTGTTTCAGTTTGGCTGGTCAGTCTCATAATGGAGATGTTCCAGGAATGTTCAGTGATTCCTAACCATTCACATTTAGAAGAGAAGTGCTAACAGGCTGATTGGAAGTCTTTGTGTGGGACTGTCAACAAAAAGGTCATCAGGTCACCAATCAGCCTTTTTTTGGAGGGTTCCCAAAGGCAAGATCTAGAAGACTTTTCTCTGGGGCCATTCAGTTTCTCAGGGTAAGACTTCTCCCTGGTGATGTGCCTGGTGATAGGCATTCTAGGAATGACCACTAAGGATTTGACTAGAGATAGCCCACAGTCACCTTATTTCCAGCCCTGTGCCTCTCTCCTGATCTCTGCTGAGCCTGGCAGCCCCTTGTCTAGGGTCTCTCCAGTTCAGTTTCTCTGGAGAGTAAACTTTTGTTCTCTTGTTGGAGAGTTGATTGGAAGGGGTAGGGCCTGGTCTTACTAAATGCTTAAATAATTAAAAATTTTCTTATCACACGTGACAAGAAGTCCAGAGGTGAAAGGGCACCAGTCCCCAAAGATGAGGAATCGGCTCTCGTTCCCTGCCTTTCTTTTACTCCATCCTCTTTAGTCTCCCGGTTTCATCTTCAAAGTTTATAGCAAGATGGCTGCTGCACTTCCGGGGACATCCAGAAGAAGGTGGAGACCACTTTTTCCTTATGTCCCATTTTAAAAATGAGGAAAATCTTGGCAGCCTCCCCCCAGAAAAAAATTTTTTATGTATTTCTCATGCCCTTTTCCAAACCAATCATTAGCAAGATGAATGAGATTTCCATTATTGGTTTGGGAAGTAAATGGAGGCTGGGAAGTAACCACCATAAGGATCGCTGTATTTCTGCTGATCTCTTTGTTCTTCGGGGCCATGCCTTTTTTATCCCTTTACTGTGATTTTAGTAGTGTTTTGGGAGGATGAGGAGATAAGTGTGTCTGATCCATGTGGCCCATGTAACAGGAAGTTCTTCAGCTACTTCCTTACACGTATCTGTACTACTAGTTCACTTTCTGGTTTTTTTTTCTGGTTTTTCTTTTTTTAATTTTTGTTAGGAAATTTTTCCCATGTACAGAAAAGTAGAAAGAATAATAAAATGAACACCTGCATACCCAGTTTTAACAGCTGTAATATTAACATTTGCAATTATATTTATTTCATCTACATTTTCTAGTGATACATTTTGAGGTAGATTGCAAATACCATAGCATTTCACCTCTAAAGATTTCCAAATGCATCTTTAAAAAGTAAAGATATTTCCCTGTATAACCAAAATGCTATTAATCACACTTAACAAAATACAGCTCACTTTTATCTCCTGCAGGACAAGGAGGCCCTATCACCATGGGGAAGGCCTCAAAAAGAGCCTGCTAGAAATTTTGGAAATGATGTCACTGTCCATCCATAGGATAGTTAAGTAAATTATGATATATCCATACTATGGAATATTGGGGAATATTAAAAATGATATAGTTCTACACATGGAAAGATCTCTACAACATCACTAGGCTGGAAAAAAAAAAAGCATGTCTCAAAATAGTATGTACAGTGTGATCCAGTTCTTGCTTAAAAATGCATGTGCCCATGTATGCACAGTAGAGAAATCTGGAAGGATATAAATCAAAATGGTAATAGCACTTGATCTTGAGTGGCAGGATTATGGATGCCATTTTCTTTCTTTATATGTTTCAGCATTATCAAAATTGTTTCAGTGTTTGGGTCTTCAGCTGTAAGTAGGCAATAATGTTGTCGCCCCTTCTTATACAGGAGAGTAGGTATCTAGGAATGCACCTGAGTGATGTGTTCTCTGGACTATACACTTGGAACATGCAGAATGAATGGCATCTTTGTTTTCATAAATATAGGAAGGTGATAGTCAATAATGAATTGTCACACCAACAGAGTTCTTATAGTAACACTGAAAAACTACCTGTGGCCTTGTTTTTGGTTTCTTGTGGGTTGTTTTTTTTTTTTATTGTGACAAAATATACATAATGTAGAATTTACCATTTTAACCATTTCTAAGTATACAGGTTCTTGACATAAGTACATTCACATTGCTGCACAACTGTCACCACCATCCATCTATAGCACTTTCTCTCTTCCCATACTGATACTCTGCACCCATCCCCAGTACCTGGTAGCCACTGCTCTACTTTCTGTCTCTGTGAATGTGACTACTCTGGGTACCTTACATAAGTGGAATCATACAATATTTGTCCTTTGTGACTGGCTTATTTCACTCAGCATCATGTCCTCAAGGTTCATCCGTGTTGTAACTGTGTCCAGATTTCCTTCCTTTTTAAGACTTAACTAATATTCCATTGTATGGATATACCATATTATGTTTTATCCATTCATCTATTTATTGATGGACATTTGGATTGTTTCCACCTTTGTGTCTTTGCTTTTATTTTTTCAAAGATTTTATTTATTTGACAGAGAGAGACACAGTGAGAGAGGGAACACAAGCAGGGGGAGGGGGAGAGGGAGAAGCAGGCTTCCCACCCAGCAGGGAGCCCAATGTGGGGCTCGATCCCAGGACTCTGGGATCATGACCCGAGGTGGCTTTGCTTTTAAAGGACTCTGCTTTTTTTTTTTTTAAAGATTTTATTTATTTATTTTTTGAAGATTTTATTTATTCATGAGAGAGAGAGAGGCAGAGGGAAAAGCAGCCTCCCAAGGAGCAGGGAGCCCAATGCGGGACTCGATCCCAGGACCCCGGGACCATGACCTGAGCTAAAGGCAGACGCTTAACCAACTGAGCCACCCAGGCGCCCTAAAGGACTGTGCTTTGAGGATCTGGTTTGAATCAGCTATTTGACACCTGGAGAGAATTGAGAGTGAAAATGAGGGAGAAGGGAGAAAATCAACAGTGCTGCTTCATGCTGCTCAAAGGGGCAGCTCTCAAAGCAGAATGCAGAAAACTCATTCTTTTTTAAAGATCTGGATTTTGGGGCGCCTGGGTGACTCAATTGTTAAGCGTCTGCCTTCAGCTCAGATCATGATCCTGGGGTTCCGGGATCAAGCCCCGCATCGGGCTCCCTGTTCAGCGGGGAGCCTGCTTCTCCCTCTTCCTCTGCCTGCTGCTCCCCCTGCTTGTGCTTGCTCACTCTCTCTCTCTGACAAATAAATAAATAAAATCTAAAAAAAAAAATCTGGATTTTTTTTTTTTTCCTCCTGAACTTCTTTTTCTCCCTGTATTTCACCCCGGTCAATCACCTGATGAAAATGGAGAAGCAGGAAAAACAACTGATAACTTAACCTCTTCTAAGTCTTTTACTGATACTGATGTGTTTGGTTTGTTCTTGCTTTTGCCTTGTTTTGGTTTTTTTGCTGCTCGTGAAGCATGCAGTGCTTCCTACTGTGACATTGCTTTTCTGTAAGCTTAGCCTTCATGGAGATGAGATCTGCGGGATTGTTCATACACAAGGAACTCGTTCATTCCTTCTTTGAGAAATATGGTTCTTCAGCACCTACCGTAAGCCAACCATGCCGGCCTGTGGTTCTAGTGGCTTGTCAAAAGTTAAATGGAAACATTCATCCTCAGAAGATACAATTAAACTACATGTGGCTTGATATTAAGAAACACATCTGGAGCGCCTGGGTGGCTCAGTCGTTCTAGCGTCTGCCTTCGGCCCAGGTCATGATTCCAGAGTCCTGGGATCGAGCCCCGTGTTGGGCTCCCTGCTCCGCGCGAAGCCTGCTTCTCTCTCAGCCCCTCCCCCGGCTAGTGCTTTCTCTCTCGAATAAATAAATAAAATCTTTAAAAGAAAAAACATAAAATGACAAACCTGCCTGGCTCGGTCGGTGGGTCCGTAGTAGAGCATGCTACTCTTGTTCTCAGGGTCGTGAGTTCAAGCCCCACGTTGGGTGCAGAGCTTACTTTAAAAAAAATGGGAAAAGAAAAGAAACATCTGGCTGCGGAGTAAGAGACTTGTGCCCCATCACTGGGACAAAACCTTTTTCAATGCCAGTGTGATAACAATTGCATAAAGCTATAGTTAAGTAGCCAAAACACAAGTACAGGGCTATCTTCCATCGTGACTGATATTTTGGTAATTGGTCTGAAGTTGTTTACTTGGCTGATCTTCCTGTCAGTTTCCACTTTCAGGAAGAAGCAACTACATGGCGGGGCGCCTGGGTGGCTCAGTTGGTTAAGCGACTGCCTTCGGCTCAGGTCATGATCCTGGAGTCCCAGGATCGAGTCCCGCATGGGGCTCCCTGCTCAGCGGGGAGTCTGCTTCTCCCTCTGACCCTCCTCCCTCTCATGCTCTCTGTCTCTCATCCTCTGTCTCTCAAATAAATAAATTAAAAAAATCTTTAAAAAAAAAAAAAAGAAGCAACTACATGGCAAGTACAAATTACTTACATGCAAACAGATGAGTAATTGTTAACTGAATTCATTAGAAGACTAGTTTGAAGTTAATTCTCTATTACTGTATTTTATATTCCACTTACACTGCTGTTTTCCCTGGTGCCTGAACTTAAGCAGGGCAGAGCCTAAGCGCCACAGGATCATTGTAGAAAGCTGGTTGATGCTACCTGATCTCAGCCTGAATTTTTCCCTTGTGTAAATTTGCCATTGACCCGCCTTCCTTGATGTATCGAGAGAGCTGATCGGTCTGCCTTCTGAGCCCCCTTCAAGTGGGTGGGTCTTCCTCCCTCAGCCAAGTTCATGCTGTCCATTCTCTCTTGCCCTCAGACCATCATCTGCAAATAGCATCAGCAGCAGCACATCTTCAAATCACAGTGGCTACACCCCGGAACCCCCCCTGCCCCCCGCCGGAGGTGACCTCACCAGCCGACTGTCAAGTGATGAAGGGGAGATGGATGGAGCTGACGAACCCGAGAAGTTAGACTGTCATTTCTCTACCCACCACCCCAGACCTCTTGCGGTAGGCCACCGTGTTTCCGTCCATGCATTTCCCCCTCCCCCGGTGCCCTGCAGGCATTTAGGTCATCCTGCCAGACAGCACGGGTTCCTAAGGAGTGGCTGCCAGAACAGGGGTGATGGAAAGGTTTACCCTGAGGGTGAATGATTGCCTTCGATTTACCCTTGAAGATCACAGAAGGTTCCCTACTGGTTATAATCCTTTAAACCCCTGAGTATCCGTGGTCCACCTTGAAGCGAGAATGCCTGAGAAACGGTGTCTGTGTAAGTGTACTGGGGAGCTGACCTTGTCCAGCTGAAAATGGAGCTTCTGGTTTCCAGAGTTCGTCTAGCTCACCTGCTTTGGAAACCGTCTGTCTTAGCAGCACGCCAGGGGCCAGCCCTAGCTGCTTTTCTCCCCTGTTGATTCTGAGTTTTATTGTTATTAGTAAGTGTGACCATATGGCACCAGAACTGTGAGAGAGAATGTGTGTGTGTTGAGGAGAGGAGAGGAGGAAAAGCATTTCACATCAGCAAAGGTACAATTCCTTCCCAATTCCTTGAAAGAGTCCACTTTGGACAGGTCAGAAGGTCATTGAAATCGAGGTGGGAAATATAAGGAGGCATGAGCTGAAGGCTTGTTTATGTTTGCCCTACAAGCACTTAACAAGGGACTGCCTGATGCTACCATCACGGAGCCAAATTCAGAGGAGCCCGGAACGTGGGACCCCATGGCCCGTTTTTGCTCTGGTCCCAGCTTGAGCTCTGCAAGGTTACCTTTGACTATCCCTAGATGTCCTGAGCTGTGTGGGGAAAATCCATCCTGCACTGGGACGCCTGGCTGGCCCAGTGGGTGGAGCGCATGACTCTTGAGCTTGGGGTTGTGAGTTCGAGCCCCACACTGGGTTTAGAGATTACTTAAATAAATAAAATCTTAAAAAAAAGAAAAATCAATCCTGCGACAAGATGGAGTGAGTCCCTCCTCCCTTCTATCTGGCCAAATTCACTTCCTGTTTCTGGGGATGATGGTGACCTGTGGTTCACCAATAGCCTGAGACTTTGCTGCTTGGCCGGTGCAGAAATAGGGACAGGGAGGAATGCCTTTGACTTCCAGGAATAGAACACTGAACTCATATATAGTGTATTCACTACAGCCATTGATTCATCTTATGGAACAAGAGGTCCAGAGGTAGGTGGTTGCCGGCTTGGTTCAGCATCTCTGCAATATGGTGCTGCTGAACGAGAATCTCTGCAAGCCTCTTTGCCTGTCGCACACGGTCTCCCTGTGCCTGCAACAGCTCCCATGTCACATCCTCACCCACTAGCATTCTCCAAAGGGCGAAAAGGGACCAACAGAAAGGGAGTCTTTTTCTAAGGTACTATCTTACATCATTTGAAATCTTCCAGTGAGCTCCCCCAGCAGGCTTCCGCTTCCGTCCAGCACAAATGTCTCACATGCCCACCCCGACACCAACTGGGGGCTCCAAACGATGGGATTGCAGTGACACAGGATGAAAGTAGCCATGATTCATCTCAAGGTTCTGGGAAGGGATCCCCCCACTTCCCTGCTCCCTGTTCTGTGTCAGATACCAGAACAGAAGGGCGGCTCCCTGAGGCAGGAAAAGGCGGGGAGAAGTACGGGTGGGATGGCAGTGGATGAGCCTGGCAGCCAGTGGAATCTGCCACGGTGGCTGGCGCAGGGAAGATCCGCAGCATCATCGAAGGCACGATATGCGGCAGAGAACGGGAGCCTCTTGGGCGTTTAACCCTGCATCTGTATTGAATTAGGGACATAGGTAGCAAAGACAGTAGGGAGCCTCCAGCTTCTGAGTCTGAAAGAGAGACTGGACTCTACTGGAAGGCCGGACTCCAGAGCACAGGGTATTTGTCCAAATGACAGGCTGCCAGGCTCCAGTGGATTAGCTCAACTCTGGGCATGGCGGATTTGTACGCCCTTAATGTTTTGCTGATTTAAATGGAAAGCTTATGGATTATTTCCTAACTTTGTCCTTTTTCTCATGGTCAGTTGATATATTAAATCATTTTTTGTCATAAACGGTCATTCAGGGTGTCTTTAGCAACTAGGACGAAGGAAGAAAAGATGTCTAGACCTGGAACACCTCCCACATGCTTCCGGGGGACTGGCTTCCACATTGGAGAACCCCCTTTGTATATTTTCTTGCTCCGTCCGTAAGCACTTGATATGAAAGTGCAGGAAAGAGTTTTTCATCAGGAGTACCAGGTTTGACGGGTGACAAAATTTTAATGCAAAACCCTCCAAACATAAGCAGAAACAAAACAAAGGGAAGGTCTTGCATTTCCTCCTAAAAACCGTTCCAAAGGCTGGTTCCAGGAAGCGTTTGTGGAATGAGTGCCAAACCCATCACTGTGTCTGGGAGGGAGGCCAGGGAGCTGCTGGGAGGTCTGGGGGAAGGAGGAGAAGCTGGATGTGAGTTATAGAGTCTTAGGCAGACTCGCCTGAGCTCTAGACCATCCAAATGTCACCTTCTCAGAGGTCGCTTCTTGCATTTCTGTCTGCTGGCCTTCTGGTTGCCCTAACATCATAATCCAGTGATGCTCATTAAACATTTTACTGCTCATATTTCAGCCACCTGTTTTAAATGTGATGATTTGCTTTAAACATTTTGTAGGACCTTGTCTCTCCAATCCATTCTTTAATCCAAATCCCTTCCCTACCATCCTCATACTGAGGAGGAAGAAGAAAACAAGGCTTCCAGCCTTTTTATACATTTAAAATCAAGCGAGGCACATAAAACTATTTATATAGAACATGAAACAGCCATGTAGCTATTCCAAGGTGAAATGTAATAAAGCATGTGATAAGTGTGCGGTGGGAGCGCAGAGGGATGAGGTTGGTCACATAAGGACCATTAGAAATGAGAGTCTTTTTTTTTTTTTTTTAAAGATTTTATTTATTTATTCATGAGAGACAGAGGGAGAGAGGCAGAGGGAGAAGCAGGCTCCCAAGGAGCAGGGAGCCTGATGTGGGACTCGATCCCAGGACCCTGGGATCATGACCTGAGCCGAAGGCAGACGCTTAACCATCTGAGCCACCCAGGCGCCCGGAAATGAGAGTCTTGATTAGGGCCCTCAAGGAGGGGAGAATTTGGGACTTCAAGAGAAGAGGGAAGGAGACAGGGAGCAAAGGGAACAGCATGAATGAGCCAAGGGAACAGCATGAACGGAAGCATGGTAATGGTGACCTGTCACAGGGCGGCCTACAAGTGCTGAGAGGTGGACGTGAAGTCAGGACTGGGGAAGGAAGGAGTTTATAGCCTCACTGGAAGTGAAGTGGCTCTGTCTACAACAGATAGGAAAGCTCTGACCAGTTGGCAGACAGCATCAGGACAAGCAGTGTCCATTACCATGATGAGAAGCAGGGAACCCCCGAGTCCCCGGAGAAGACAGGTGATACCATAGGCAGGCAGTGCTGGAAAATCCCCCTGGCTTCTGGTTTGGTTTGGTTTGGGTTGTGTGTTTGTTTTTAACCTATAAGACTGGCTGGATCCCGGGTGTAGAGAAGGTAGCCCTCAGTGCCACAGAAACTCGGATGTCACTACGGTTGAGCCCCAGTGCGAGGGTCTGCAGAAAGTCTAGAGCACAGATGAAAGCACCACAGAAGTGTTTTTGGCTTCCGTACTATTTGCTTCTTTATTTTGAGCAAAATTGTACCCCTGTGTGTTTTTGTGCAAATGTTATTGTTCTCTGCATGGTTTATATTAGCTTATTAACCTGTAATCAAAATTAAAATGTTTTTTCCCCTCACAGTTTTGCTCTTTCGGGAGTCGCCTCATGGGACGAGGGTACTATGTGTTTGATAGAAGATGGGATCGTTTTCGATTCGCACTAAACTCCATGGTAGAAAAACACTTGAATTCACAGATGTGGAAGTAAGTGAGCCATTTTTGTGCAATATACGCTCCGAGCTGCCCCACATGTCTGAACCCTAGCTTTCCGGATGAATGTGGTGGTTGGCTTTTCATAGAACAAAATGATTCTGAAATCAGGATCCCTGGTTAATTCGTAAATGCCAGCTCTTCTTAATGGCTTTCCCACAGTTTCTCAGAGACACATACGACGTGTGGTATGCTTTGTCCCCTTCGGGGATCATTTTTGTGTTGTGTTGTGTTCTAAACTAAGTGAAAAGTGAAAAAGTGAAAAAGGCGTTAGGTAAGATCTTGTCTATTTAAGAGTGTTAAAGGGCCTTTGGGCTATGACCAAGAACATCTAAGGATACTGAGACTATGCCTCTGCCGTAATGTTAATGCTACAGTGTCGATACTAAAAATTTCACAATGGTTATGGACCAATTTCTTTTTTTTTTTTTTAAAGATTTTATTTATTTATTTGAGACAGAATGAGAGAGAGAGAGAGAGCACATGAGAGGGGGGAGGGTCAGAGGAAGAAGCAAGCTCGCTGCCGAGCAGGGAGCCCGATGCGGGACTCGATCCAGGGACTCCAGGATCATGACCTGAGCCGAAGGCAGTCGCTTAACCAACTGAGACACCCAGGCGCCCTATGGACCAATTTCTAATTGTTTAATGTCCTGTGAAAAAAATAAGTACAGCGGCCAACAGGGCGGATCCTGAGTGATGTTGGAAGTTGGTTAAGCTTGTCTTTGGCCCTTCCCGCCTCACTAGAGCTCTCTCCTCGCCTCTCCCTGTACTTCTCTACCCGCCCCCAACCCCAGCTTATGTTCCATTTCTCTGAGCCCCCTTTCTTCTCCAACACCTCCCAATGTATTTACATCTTAACAGGAGACTCGTAAAAAAGGGAAGGAAACTTTCTGACTTAGGCAAATGGCCTTGTGAAAGGGTGACAAGCTAGACCCTTTCCAACCACAGCACATGGGGGGGCTTCCAGGCTGGCGCCTCGATCCTGCATGGCCAGCCCGCACCCCCGCTCCTACAGAAGTGAGCCCCCAGGACATCATAATCCATTAGCGTCATGGACCTCTCAGGTCTGCGCCCAGGCGGGTCAGGAAAGCCACGGCGGAACTCCGAACCCCGAACCCTGCCCAGGGAGGCCCGGGAAAGGTGGGAATGGGAGGGTTCCTGAGAATGGGAGGGTGCTGTGGGGGGGACCCGGGAGCAGAATTCAGAGCTGGCCCCTCTCCCGGCAGCTGTGGCACCTCCCAGACCCGACCTCCTCGCAGAAGCCAGCCCCATGGGGTGTGCGGGTAGTTGTCCCAGCGGACTCCGTGGTGACACCTAGTGCAGAATTGGAAAGGGCCACAAGAGAAGCTTATCGTTTCTTCTCACTGACGCGCCAGCTCAGTGTGTCTGAAGGGCGCCCTCGGTGGGGGCCCGTGTCCGCTCAGGACAGCCGCCACCGGGTGCTGCATGCGGGGCTCCTGGGTTCTCGGTGTTTTGGTGGTTGGCCCCTGTGCACTTGTCCCCCCAAGATGGCAGCCTGCCCTGGGGATTCTCGAAGCTCTTTGCGCTCCTGTGTTGTGGAAGTGTAAATCCCGGACACGTGGAAGGAATGTGTTGATCTGTGTTTCGCTACCTGGTGTCCTGTCAGCTCAAGCTCCATATTCCTTTCCTCCTCAGGCACAGAAACCCGAGCCCCAGGGCATCAGGTCCCTCCCCCCTTTTCAGGACTTGCCTAACCAATCTGCTGTCACTGAGCAACATTGGGGCTGCCTGGGTGTCAACTCTGGAGAGCGTAGCACCCCGCTGCCCTCTCAGCCTCGCTGCCCAAACCCCAGGCCCCGACGGGCCCGAACCTGGAGGGATGGCAGCCGATGGGGGCATGGAAGACATTAGGAAGAAAAGGAACGGCCAAGACTCTTTTTTCTTTAACAAGCATTTAACTCTGCATCAGGAGACGCCAACACAGTATTCTCTTTCAGCCAGGTCAGCATCTGGATCTCCACACCAGCTGGCAGGGGAGGAGGGGCGCTCTCAGTAATTTATCCGCATCTGTGGGCTTTTGTACGGGACTCCCCAGGCCAGCGTGCACAGTGGAAACCGGGGCACGGCCCGCAGAGCTGAAGTCCACTGCCAGCCCCCTAGAAAAACACATAAACTGCTGAGCACGGGGGGCAGGGGCTTCCCAGGACAGTGAGCCGCCGTGTGCCCCTTGCCCTGCTTCTCCCCCGCCCTTTCTCCCCTCCGCTTAGGATTAGCGGGGAGACAAAGAAAAGGGACAGAAAGGAGATGAGGAAAATAGCATCCACCCCAATCCCGAGTGTCAGCCGGGTAAGACTGACGACTTCGGCCCTGTTTGTCCGCCCAAGTCGAAACACACACTTAACACAATTCAGTGGGAAAATTACAAATCGGGGCATTTGGAGTAGAGCCCGGTTAAGGCCATCGATTGGGGTCCTCTCTAAAGGAGCCATCTGGTATCCATAAATAACATTTCTTACAAGTCCCTGCCAAACCTCTGCCCGCATGTATTTCTATCCCTACTTTAGCCGGTAGGAAACTGGAGTCAGGGAAAGATGGAGCGGGCTGCTGACAGAGACGGCAGGGAGAGTGTGCAAACGCCACACAGCCTGAGAAACCTTCCCGAAAGCATCAGGGCGGGCTTGTGCAGTGCCAGACAGTTTGAAGGGCATGTCCAGACCTCTCGGGTCCGCTATCGTGGGAGTCCTTGCCCCTCATGCATAGTTATGTTGCTGCTGAGAATTCACCTGCTCACCCATCCACCCACCCATCCATCCATCCATTCATTCACTCATTGGTTCATTGCAACAAGTACTAAGGAACAGTGGTTGAGTGCTGACCGGCCTTTTACATCCTTTGGGCTTAAGAAAAAGTAGATTTTCGAACGCCATCACGGCCACAGTGGATTTGGCAACATTTTTCCTCTTATATTTGATCCGTTTGATCTGATGTTTTCAAGGACCCTGTGCTTCTGTACTCAAGGACTCCTCTGGATTCCACCCTAAAGATGGAAGCCATAAGCTCCACCAAATTGCAGGCAGAAAACTGAGTCCTCAGGGCAGCGCTAGGAGAGGAATTTTCTCCTCAGTGGGGCCTCTTTCTGGCATCCCGGGGGGCCCCATCCTGCTGCTACAGCTGAGAGGGTGGCCTCCAAGGAGCCAGGGAATTTCGAGAGGCCCCGTCTCACACCTGCTCAAAGCCCTGGGGGTGCAAGTCCCAAGTCGGCCCACCTTCAAGTGCTGCTTTCAGAGAAAGAGAGCTAGTTCCTGACTGCTGGGGGGTGCTCAGCTACACTGAAAATGATTTCCAGGGAAGCGGGGAGGGGGAGCTAGGGGCAAGATAGGAAAGAGCCCGTTTGAAAATATTCACCTGGCTCCTGAGGTCAGTATCCTTTCCTGCAAAAAAAAAAAAAAAATCAGGAACAAATGGTGACCCCAAGGCCCCTGTGCCCCTCCTGGTTCCCAGAGTAGCAGTGACATTGAGCCAGACTGTGGTTTGGAGGTGGGAGTCAACAGATGGAGCTTATAGGAAGGCCCCAGGAATGACCCGCCACCCGATGCTGGCCTGGGCCCCACAGAGTGCAGGAGACAGGGAGTTTGCTCCCAGGCACCCAACCTTCTGGAAGACACCCCCCCACCACCGACCGTGTATTCTCCTGTGCCCATATCCTGCATCTGTCTTCAGAACAAACTGGAAATTCCTGACCCCCTGTCTGGATCCATGCAGGTCCCTGTCCTCTCACCGCATCCTAACACAGGGACGGGAAGACCTGTGGATGGGCAGCCACACCCCCATCGTAGCTCCTCAGAGCGAGAGCTGAGGTTGGGTGAGGTGAATAAGAATAAATGGGAGCCAGCAGCCCCGAGCCCACGTGTTCATGCTTCTCCACAGAATAAAGTAGAGGCTGCAGACAGCAAAGGCAAGAGGATGCTGGCCTGACAGTGGGGGGGGTGGGGGGCGGCGAGGACCAAAGGGCTGGGAAGGCCCGAGAGGCAGTGTGCAGGCCTGTCCCCCAGGTACAGGTGGCAAAGCCCTGTCCTCACACTTCTTACTCAAGCCGGGACCTACCTGTGAAATGACTACCGCTCATTAACAAGCACCGTCATCACTGCCAAAAAACAAAAGAGGAGAAAGAGAGAGAGAGAGAGAATACTGTTGGGGAAATTTATATTCTAAATAACATTCGGCTTTATTCATGAACCCAAATCAGCCATTATGCAGTAGCCAGGCATGGAGAAAAGGATCTGAGAACCTGAAAGTGATTCACACTAGGTTTGTGGATGTTGCAATGGGGGGAACCACAGGGAAGGGCCATAATTCAGAGTCCGCCATCCTTCAAGGCTTCATCTTCCATAGTGTGGTTCGACCGGGGTTTCTGTGGAGCCCTGCCGCTCACACGTACTCGAGCCTCCGGAGCGCTGCCAAGCCTGTTTCTCACGGTTTCTCTTTCACTCTTCTCTCATGTTTAGGAAGATCCCTCCTGCGGCAGATAGCCCCATGCCCTCGCCGGCAGCCCACATCACCACCCCCGTTCCAGCATCCGTTTCCCAGCCTTTCAACAACCCCAGTGCTGTGTATCTTCCTTCAGCTCCCATCAGCTCGAGACTCACCTCTTCTTACATAATGACATCAGCCATGCTCTCAAACGCAGCTTTTGTGGCGTCGCCGGACCCGAGCGCCCTCATGTCACACACCACAGCTTTCCCCCATGTGGCTGCAACCCTCAGCATCATGGACTCAACCTTCAAGGCCCCATCTGCTGTGTCCCCGATACCAGCCGTCATCCCTTCCCCATCCCACAAGCCATCCAAAACCAAAACCAGCAAATCCTCAAAAGTCAAAGACCTGTCCGCCCGTAGCGACGAGTCTCCAAGTAACAAAAAGAGGAAGCCGCAGCCTTCGACTTCCTCGTCCTCCTCCTCCTCATTAACCTTGCAGACATCCCTCTCGTCTCCGTTATCAGGGCCCCACAAAAAGAACTGTGTCTTGAATGCCAGTTCAGCTTTGAACTCCTATCAGGCGGCCCCTCCCTATAACAGTCTGTCTGTGCACAGCTCAAACAATGGGGTGAGCCCACTCAGTGCCAAACTGGAGCCCTCAGGACGGACCTCGCTGCCCGGCGGCCCCGCGGACATAGTGAGACACGGGGGCTCGGTGGGCGGCAGCAGTGACTCCTGTCCCCTCTCTGTGCCCTCCCTTGCAGGGGACCTCTCTCTGGCCTCACACAATGCCGTGTCTTCGCTGCCCCTCTCTTTTGACAAATCAGAAGGAAAAAAGCGTAAGAACTCGAGTTCTAGTAGCAAAGCCTGTAAAATCACTAAAATGCCTGGTATGAATAGCGTTCACAAAAAGAACCCGCCCAGCCTTCTCGCGCCGGTGCCCGATCCCGTTAACAGCACCTCCTCTCGGCAGGTAAGGGACCCGTGCTTCCGCGGGCCTGCCGGTTCGGCCTTCGTGGGCTCTGTGGGACGGAGCGGGCTGGGCGGGGCTCCTGCTGAGCCGGGCAGCTCAAGCCCGGGAACAGAGCGGCCTCGGTTCTGAGGACGGTTTCGTGAACACCCACTTTGTGCGGCTCTTGCTGTGTGCTGGGCTGTTCTAAGCACTGTGCAAATGTCACTTCGTTTAAGCCCCGCCACCCAGAGCAGTTGGTGCATTTGTTATCCCCGCTTTACAGAGAGGAAACTGAGGCACGGGGAGATGCAGAGGTCCCCCTCCACTTCTGCCTCTTCTGTATCTTGAGCTCTGAGGACGATTTCATTCAATCTGGTGTCTGGGAAGCCCCTTAGGAAGAGCCCGAGGCCCAGGCAAGTTCAGCGATGGGGGGGCCACCTGGGGTGTGGTGGCTGGTGCAGCCGCCTCCCCGGTGACTGAGTATTCCCGCTCCTACAGTAAAACCGCATCTCACACCAACTGGCCCAGACGTGTCCGATGGTGCCACTGTGCAAGTAGGAGGGCGTATGGTGAGGAAGCCCAGGACGATGGGGCGGAAGAGTCCAAGCTCAGGCGTCCTCCCGCCTGGTCTTCCCCCGTCTCCGACCCCCGGGGCGGGGCGGGGCGGGGCGGGGCGGGGGGTGGGAGGCTATTGAGAGGCCCCACCCCCTCCAGGTGCTGCCGCTTGGGGGCGCAGAGGGCGGAGGTGTCGGAGAGCCTGTGCCCCAGGGCCCAGACGGTGGGCTGCCGCTGCCCAGGTTTAGAATTAAGTGGGCTGGACCCTCACCCCAGCCCTGTGTGGGGATGAGGACTTTGGAGAGATGAGAGGCAGTTGTTAAGCAAATGTTTTAATGTTTTATGTCATCTTTCTGTGAGGCTTGTAAAAGCTCAGGAAGAGAGCATCTTGAGGGGGATTCACAAATCACAAGTAGACACATGAGAAACAGCACGTTTGGATCCCAGGGGCTAGACAAGCTGCAAACTGAGGCCAAGGTGAGACAGGGGGAGATGTAGGTGCTCACACTGGAGCCCGGGACATTCACACCTGTCTACAGCTGCAGCAGGTGTCCCACCGTTCTAACCCCCTGATTCCAGGGGTGCAGGGGAGGGGGGCCAGCACCCACAGGGCCCTCTCCTGAGACCACACTGCTGGTCAGGGCCACCTTCAGGCCTCAGGATGATGAAGAGCAGAACCAGGGTTTACTTGAATGTGTACAGGAACCCCCTGGGATGTGTGTGTGGGGGGGGTGTCTTATTAAGGTGCAGACTCTGAGTCAGCAGGTCAGGGGTGTCACCCTATTGGCTTACAGGCCACACCGTGACAACCTGGGGCTTGAACTCACAACCCTGAGATCAAGAGTCAGATACTTACCGACTGAGCCGTCCAGGCGCCCCCTAGTGTCACCCATTTTAGATAAAGTTCTAGCCGCAAACACTCAGGGATGAGCTCTGTTCCAAGCACCTCAGATATATTGTCATTTAATTGTTACCTGTTATTACCCCCCATTTTACAAATGAGTAAACCGAGGCACAGGAAGGTTAAACAACATGCCCAAAGTCACACAGCAAGGAAATAGTAGGGCAGAGATTTAAACCCAGGCAGTTTGGCTCTGGAGTCTGGGCTCTCAACCTTCATGCCTCTGTGTTCATGGAATGTCTCTGTACTGAGTCGACGTTGCCCTGTTTGTTCTTGGGTCAGCAGGACCGTCTGAAATGTTTAGCAAACACAATTAGTCAAAACCAGTGGAGAAAGGAGCAGACAGGTCTCTACCAGATTATTTATCAAGAGGGAAATCAAAAAAGCTGATGCCTTGGACAGCTGCCGCGGGTCTAGCCCGCATCGGCTCTCTCATGCGGGTGATACCTGGGTGCTTGTCACCGGGCCATTTAGAAAACCTTTGTCCAGGATCACCCCTGGTGATGTCCAAGTGCTGGGGAAAGGTCTTTGCAATCTGTGTCGATTCTGTTAGGAGACTGGGAGAAGCATGAGGTAGGTTGAGAAATTCAAGGTAAACATGTGCTTTGGGAACCAACTGGGGATCTATTTAATTGTATCTGGTAGGTGTAAGACCAGCATTTCCCACAGAGATATTAAATTGAACAAAAAAACAGGACTGCGAGTATAAGGCAGACGTCTTTATGCAAAGGTGAGTTAACACAGAGGACGAGCTCTTTATAGGCCCAAGGAGGAGCTGCCTGTGGGCTGGGTACTCACCTGCGGAACCCGCCCGCCACGGGCCCAGGAAGGTTCCGAGAAAGGGGAGGAGCCCGGCGGCCACACCCACAGGCGCCCGTGCCGCCTCCTGGGACCCCGCCCCGGCTCCCACTGGAAAGGGGAAGCCCAGGGCCATTTGGCTAGTTTTCTGAAGAACAGCAAGGTGGTCGCTATGTCCCGTAGCCAGGAAAACGGACCCAGAATAAGAGGCAAGCTTTTATGCTGAGCTAGTCCCGGGGAGTCTTCTGGGACCGGTCTGGGAGGTCAGAGGTGGAGAAACAAGGGCCTCTGCAGGGGCAAATGCCCCCCACCCCGCCCCAGGACGGGCGAGGCTCTCGCCAGACGCCTTCATCCTCACCCCTGGAACTCACAGGCTACATCTGGGAAGCAGAATTAAGAGCTCCCCTCCATTCCACCTTTCTTGTGGGACGGGAGGTGCCCCCGGAGCCGTATGCGTCTTCTCTGCCATCTAAGACGGAAACGCGAGCGGCTAACCACTGGAGGGCGCTGTTGGACCCCGGGCGGCCCAGATACCGGCGGGTTCTCTCGCGGCAGGCTGGCTGGTGGATCTGAGTGCGACGTCTATGGTGTCTTTCAGGTCGGGAAAAATAGCAGCCTAGCTTTGTCACAATCCAGTCCTTCAAGCATATCCAGCCCAGGACACAGCCGGCCGGTAAGTTACCGGGGGGCAGGGGCAAAAGGACAAGGGGTCCCCAGCAGTGGGAGCGAGGGCATTGGGGCAGACTCTGGCTCACATCTCAGCTCCAGTTAAGAGCATAGCTTCCTGGCTTCTAGAGCTTGGCCATCTTGTTAGTAGCTGTGTGTCCTTAGCTAAGTTACTTAACTTCCCTGTGCTTCAGTTTCCTCACCCACAAGGGGATCATAAATGGCCCCTACCCCATATGGCTTTTGTGAGGATTAAATTAATTTTTTCTCATAAAGCCTCTAGAAAATGCCTGACACATAAGAAACACATAGGTCTTAGCCCCAATTATTAATCGCAGCTGTGTGATACTAGGCACATTCCTTCTCTGAGTCTCAGTGTTTTCATCTTTTAAATGGCAAAGGTGACACCTGCCTCCTAAGGTTATTGTGAAAATTAATGAGCTGACCGAAGGGCCTTGCTCGGGGCACTGATCCATCAGTCCCTTCTCAAGGCCTCTGGTGAGTTGTGGCTACTGTTCAAGATGTGGTTTCATGGTGGGAATATCCGGGGTAGATCTAGGAGTTTTTACAAACTCAAAAGTGTGAAAGTAGTCAGTGTACAAATTATATTCTCCAGTGGAGTGTGTGTGCCTCTGAGGGAGGCCAGGGAGGGTAGAGGGTGGGGTAAGGCGTGTTCTACGTGACTGGAAAAAAATACACGCATAGCTGTGTTATGTCGTCTTAGATGTGCTGTTGGTTTTGTAGATACCAAATTGCAGTATGTTTGCATTTTGGCCTTTGGGGTTTCCCCACCAGTGTTGGGTAGTGTTTGGGTGAAGATTATAGGGAAATAGTTTTTGTATCCCCAGATCAAGGAGAGTGTCTCCACCATTTTGTGCCTGAGCATCTTGTGTGGGAGGTTGTAGGGGGGACGACGCAGAGAAGGGGGCGTCTGTGCCCTGGTAACCTGCCCTTGTTCGTGACTGGCCTCCCGCACAGTCTGCGGAGTGCACCTGTTGGCTACACGGTCACCCTTAACAAACGTAATAATAATAAAATAGCATTTGTTGAGGCTTTTCTCTGCAGGAGCTATGCTGAGCCCTTTACATACATTACATACATATAACCCTTATAGCAACCCTGTGAGGGACAAATGATGATCCTCATGTTACAGATTGAAGATACCCGGACTAAGAGGCTAAGTAACTTGAACCCAAAGTCTCTGTGCTTAATCCAACACTAGACGTCTTCCTTAGAGAATTTTCCATGTGGTCTACAGGTTAGGTAGGAAGAGGTAAATTAAGAGGAAAAAAACAAAGACGGGTCCATTATTCCAGTTCTCTCTGCAGGAGGGGACCCCCTCCGTGCATGTGCACGGGATGTGTCCCTGTATCTTCCCTGGAGCGAGGATCTGCGTGGCCGCGTCAGGTGCCCTGAGCCCTCCACATCCGGCGCCTCACTTGCCCATCACCGTTGCCTTCGGCCCGAGGTGGCTCCATATCATAGCCGCGAAAACTGAGCCTCTGTTCTTGAATTCTTGCGGGTCATCCCAAGTGTATGGTTTTGAAACAAGCTTTTCTTTTCTTTCCTAGAAGACCACAAACAGAACGGGCAGGATAAGGACTCTTCCATAACAAGACTGTGAAGCCACTTCCAAACCAATGCCTGGCCGCCCCGAGACCGAGGCGGGGGGGTGGGGGGGGTGGGGGGCGTGCAGCCGGGGAGAGTCGGCTTCCTGTGCCGTGCCTGTGGCTCTGGCCTTGCTTCTTCCTTTTTTAACTGACCAGTTTTTAGTTTTGAAGAAAAAGGCAAAAGGCAAAAGAACGTGAATTTAAGATTTACAGAAAACAGTACCAGTGTTTTGTTTCGGTTCTTTCATTTGCCATGTGTATGCGTTCTTCCAAGTTTGGGGTCGCCCCTTAGCTTCCGATGCTGCTACTGCACCATCATTTCGCGCCAGCCACACGAGCAGTCATGGCAGAGTGTCCGTTCCCGGTTGGCGTGGTCTGAGACTCTTGGACTTGAGCACGTGCGGTGCTCCTTTCCTTGACCTCTCCCACCCGTCCCTTCCGTCCCCTCCCACCTGCCGCCCACCGGCTCCCCACTGGCCAGCGTGCTGGGGGAGGGGCTTTGCTGGGGAAGAGCCTGTGTTTGGGGAGCCCCGCCTGGGCTGAGCGCCCTCAGCAGGTTTCCGCGCTGCACCAGCACTGCGCGAGCCGGATGCTGTGCGCAAAACGGAGAAGAGTGACCATTGAACTATGTCGCTTAGCTGATACCACTGTCCAGCCGTGCAGCTCAGAGAGGATCTGGGTCAGGGACAGGGACTGGAATGGGCCCCAAAGGTGGCAAGAAGCAGAGCTTACGCGTAGGGGACGATATCCCTCAAAAGGCGGAGGAAACCGGGTGGCTTGTCACCTGAGCTTGTTAGAGATCCATGTTGCAGAATCCCTTCCAGGGTGCGGGTGTACAAGGGCGCCAAAGCGAGGCGAACCAGAGAAGGAGAAATCCCAGGGAGAAGGGCACGAGACCCCAGGGGGCCACTCAGGGCTTGAGACACAGCTTCCACAGCGGTGGAAGTTCTCAAGCTGCCCTCGGGTGAGACAAGAGGAGGAAAGGCAGGGCTGGGGGTGCAGGAAGGGTCTGAGAGAAAGCTTCCATGGAGGGTTAAGTAATAAACACTAGCCCTGCCCACCCACCTCCGTGCCCTGGGTGCCAGGGTCCTGTGCAATCGGCACACCCATCGATCAGCTTGTGCTAAGCTATCACAAGCCCCAACTCTGATCCAGCCTCCCCAGGGAGGTGTAGTGAGCTCAGCTACCGCTCAGTGAAGAAGAGCTATTGGAAGAGCAGGAAGAGAGAAGCTAGAGCCCTACAACTCTGAAACTGTTCACACTGGCGTTTTGAAAGACATAGCAATACCACATGCTCTACTAGGGAATGGTAATCAGGAAAGGAATTCACGATATGAAATAGGCATTCTGTGCTATTAATCATGAAACTTGTATCCGATATAATAGCAAGAGATACTAGGAAGTTTTGCTTCATCCCTAAATCAGAAATGAATGCCAGTTTTGCAGCTGGACCCAAACCCTCATCCCTACCCTGAAGTTTCCCTTTTCCTTCCCATCCCCACAACCCAAAGATCAGACTACTGTTACGTTTCACCACATTGGATTTCGCAAAGACGGGAAGCAAACAGAGTGATTTGTATCAATGGAATTGCACTGACTGTGTTTCTTATAGGATTCCTAAAATTTTTAATATAAAATGAAGATTTTTTTAAAAATCAGGAGTTGATATTAGGTACCAGAACATTAGTTCAGATGATTTCATTTTTATTTCTACAGTGTTAAAAGTGCACTTATATGCCGGTTTATTTACGTCTTGGGAAAAAGAGACTACAAATTGAAGGGAAGATGGTTACTTTTTCTTTTTTTTTAAAAAAAAAAGTTAAGGCAGATTTTAAGACTTATAAAATGTTTAAGAAATTATAAACAGGTTAGACCCTTTGGAAAAAAAGTTTAGAAGATATTCTTAAAGTAAATTTTTATAGTGTTAATTTTGTAATAATTTATGTTTTACTATATTGCAGAGCTAACTGACCAGAATAGTTTCAGAAACAATATGAAACGTAGGAAAGTTTAAGCAATGTTTATATTTTTAAAATGTTCTTTGAATTATGTTTTTATTGTACATTTCTTCAGACTGAAAAGTATGTACATATCTTTGTTATTTTTGCACAATTTTTGTCTCGTTCGGTTTTAGAAGTCTGTTGTTTTTTTATAATTTATTTTAAGTTTAAAACTTGCAGGAGTAAAAAAAAAAAACAAAAAAAAAAACAAAAAAATCTCAGCAACAAAATAACCCTCTGATTTATAAACTCTTACACTCAAAGAGGGAAAACAAAGGTTGAGAGATTAAGTGGCTGCTTCTGAGAAATAATGTCTCTTGACAGGGACGAAAGGAGCAATTCAATAGGCTTAAACATTTTAGCTGTCTACATCTTGAATTGCAAGCTGGAATAAAGAGGCTCCCCACCGAATGCTGCTTACTTGGTGAAAGCCTGGCTCTGACCAAGGTGAGGACATTTCTGGAAAACTGAGCAAAAAGGGAAAACCCATGGTGTTTCTTCCTTCACAATCAACCACAGGTTTACTTTATAATGATGTATTAAAAACTCACAGCTTGAAAAATGGAATGCAAATAAAAGGTTTTCTTTGGGTTTGTTTTAACGGAGTTCAACTGGACCAGCCTATAAAGCATTATTAGGGTGAGACCCTTTGGGTGCTTCTGTTTCTGCGCATCCCGCCCCAGCCCCTTGACTGCACACACACCCACACCCACATACACATACACCCACACACACACACCCACACCCACACACACACACACACCACCACCACCACCCCCCATTTGCCTGAAGATCTCGTGACTTGTCGTCAGCCATAGAGGCTCGAAAGCTCTGGTGGTTAAGCATAACACAATGCATAGACCTGTCAGCCATAAAAAAAAAAAAAAAAAAAAAAAGCGACTTGGATAACTTGTATGCCTTCTTTTGTATCAATGTACCAGTTGTAAATAACGCTGATCAACCTTTGTAGAGAATAGTTTCTACAGCATATTCTATTATTGCTGATTCTCAGTGAACTCTTGTTTTAAAAAAGGAAAAAAAAAGAAATTTTCTATTTACACCTTCTATTTTGTTATGCTGTCAGCCCATGGCACTTTAACAAAACTCTGCGGGTTTTATGTAGCTGGTCAGTCATGGGGTATATTCAGTCACTATTGTTGCACAGACAAGAATTTACACCTGCTCATTTGTCCTTTCCTACTTACTGATTTTAGAACCTTTTCCAGAAGAATTTTGGAGAAAGCATGTCCCAACATTCTAAGCAAACGCCACACTTGTGGAGTGGGTTTCTTTTCTACGGTCCCTATTTTGTAACACTAAGTATTTTCCTTCTTTGTCCCCGCACCTTTACGTATTAGCACTATCAGATAGAATTCATTCCATGCCTGTGATATTGTAAGCAGAATAAATGTCTAAAGTAGGTGTAAATAGTAAATTCTATGGCTTACAGTTTTAAAAGGAAAGAACAAACATGTATCTATTGATACTGCCATGGTTCAGCACCAGGCCTGGAGACATTCTCCAGTGAGCGATTGTACTTTTTTTTTTTTTTTTTCCTTTTTTTTTTTTGTAACATGGCTTTGTAAATAAAATAATTTATATGTTTGTAAAACAAAGTCTTCGGGTTTTTATAAAATGTAGATTTTTTGCCATTTCTTTTTTTCTTCTGGGTGACAGTGTTCCCACCTGATGAACCTTCCTGCTAGAACACACATTTGATAGAAGAGAGTGAATTCATTCAACAAATATTTATGGAGCATCCTGTGGTGGCTGCCCCTCAGCTAGGCGCTTTGTGCTCAGCGAGGAGAAACACAGTCCCAGCTGCTTTCTGGAAGCACCTGATGGGGAAGATAGTAAATAAACACACGATCAAATGTGTAATTACAGATTGTGGCAAAGGCTTTGGTGGAAAGAATTGAATTCTGTGAGAATTTAAATTAGAATTAGAATTAAAATTAAAACGGGTGATAGGGCACTATCCGGTAGTCCCCTCTGAGGAAGTGAGCTGAAGGCACAGTGTGGAGGAGAGAATGCCAGGCAGAGATAGTCCAAGGTGGGAAATGCTTGTAAGTTCTTAGAGCCTAGGGAAGATCCACTGTGGACAGAGCAGAGGGAGAGAGATGGACAGAAGGCAAGGCAAGGTCACAAAAGGCCTCACAGAGTTTGGATTTCATGCTCAGTTCAATGGGAATCCTTTGAAGGGCTTTAAGTAGGGGCATGGCATGATCCCCTAAGTACGAGCTGCTGGGTGGAAAATCACTCGGAAGCTAGTTCAAGAGACTAGGTGAGATACCATGTCTGTGTTGTCCTAGAATGATGACAGTAGAGATAGGGGAAGTGAATGGAATCAAGATATATCTTACATATTAAATTGACAAGGAATTGCTTAGGAATTGGATCTGAGAATAAGGAAAAATGACTCCCAGGTTGTGTTAGGTGAAGATGCCTGCCATTTCTTCAGATGTGGAAACCAGAGGAGGAATGAGTTTTTCACGGGGCAGGGAGGAGGAGAGTTTAGTGAGGCTCAGAAGTCCTCTTTTGTGTGCATGTGTTGGCTCATCAATGGGATCACTGGCCCACCGAAGCTTCTGTGCCAAGTAGGCATGATATACGCATGACTGAAAGGATCAGCAGCTCTAAGTTAGAGGCACCAGTTTGGGGACCTTTAGTACATGGATAATATTTAGAACCACAAGCATGAGTGGAATTGCTTGAGAGAATGTAGAGCGAGAAGAGCAGACACTTAGAGGTTAGGTGGAAGAGGAAAACTAGCAAAGAACCCTAAGATGAAGCATTCCTAAAGAGAAGAGAGAACCCAACAGAAAGTGGTTCCCTCGAAGCCAGGACTATAAGATGTTTCAAGGAAGGAACAGTCAACTGAGTCAGATACCATGCACAATGTTAGATCCAGATGGTATATTGTGTTTGGAGTTATGCAGCATGGAGGTCATGGGTGACTATTAGTTTCCTAGGGCAGCCATAACAAATTACTGCTACGTACGTGGTGGCTTAAAGCAGCAAAAATTATTCTCTCAGAGTTCTGGAGACCGGAAGTCCAAAATCAAGCAGGCTGCCTTCCCTTCGATGGCTCTAGAGGAGACTCCTTCTTGGCCTCTTCCAGTTTCTGTTGACTGCTAGCGGTCCATCGCATTCCTTGGCTTTATAGACACATCACTCCCATCTCTGCCTCCATCTTCACATGGTCTTATAGCCCCAATGTCTCTCCCATGTCTCAAATTTCCCCCTGCCTTTCTCTTGTAAGGACATCTGTCAGTGGAGTTAGGGCCCACCCTAAATCCTGGATGATCTCATCTCCAGATCCTTAACTTAATTACATCTCTTTCCAAGGAAGTTCACACTCACAGGTTCCAGTAGTTAGGACTTGGACCTATCATTTGGGGGGTTACTATTCAATCCACTATAGCGACCTTAGCAAAGCAGGTGTGATGGCATGGTAGGGCCTACAGCCAGACTGGGGTGGTTTGAAGGAAACTCAGATATGTCGACAAATCTTAAGGAGACCAGAAGGCTCAAGAGAGTGTTTGGATTTTGTTTCTCTTTGTTTATTGCTTTTCAAGGGAGAAGAGACAAGATTATGATTCATATGCTGATAAGACTGGGACAGTAGGGGAGGGAAAAAGCTGAAGAAGCAGGAGGTGATTAAAAAAAGGGGGGGGCCCTGGGTGGCTCGGTAGGTTAAGCGGGTTAAGCTCTGACTCTTGGTTTTGGCTCAGGTCATGAGATCGAGCCCCACGTCGGGAACCTGCTTAAAATTCGCTCTCTCTGCCGCTCTCCCCACTTATGCTCACTCTCTCTCTCTGTCTCTCTCCTCCCCCCCAAAAAAAGAAGGGAAGTCTTTGAGAAGGCAAGAGGGAGGTGAACCCAAACGCATGTGTTTGTAGGATTCAAAGATAAACTGAGGCATATTAAAATACTCTAAGAGTTTATTTAAGCAAAAATGGATTTGAATCAGGCAGCACCAAACAGGAAGTGGTTGGGAGCACACCACCAACAGGGAAAAGACTTTTACAGAGAAAAGGTGGAAGCAAAGAAGTTCTTCGATCAACGGTAGCTTAAAGCCTAGTTGGCTGTGACTGGTCGTCCTTAGTGTTTTGCTTTCGTGACCTTGAGGCCTTGACGAGCAGAGATTTGGGGGGGCTTCCATAGGCCACTGGGGCATTAGAGCCTCGGTCTCAGGGCCTCCTTGTTTAATGAAAGGACCAGTAGGAAGAAGGGCCCTCCCTCCAGGGCGATGGGGTAGAAGCCAGCTTGCAGACTGGCTGTTGGGAAGACAGGAAAAATTCACACCTGGTGGCTTCCATTTCCTTAGGGACCGCGGGGTAACCTGAGTGTGTGGGGGAGCTTGGGAGAAGTGGGGGAAATGTGAAGAAAGAATTAAGTAATTACTAGTGAAACTGGATTGCCACAGCATTGAGAGCACATTTGAGATTCGTGATCAAAGCAAGGTCCTGGCATGGGGAAGACGGGCTTGGAGACGGGTTCGAGCACACTAAGGGCAGAGCGGGGCCATTGGAGCTCCAAGGCAAACTAAGGCACATTTCTTATCATTCTGCCCCAGGCCCAAGTGACTATTTTCACTATTGTTCAGAAAAGAAAACCAGGGGAAGCAGATTTGAAACTTGGCACGTAGTAAACACCTTGCAAATAAATGTTTGTACAAATGGATTATCCACAGTCACAAAACCTCAGTGTGGTACTTCTAGCACCAAGGACATCATATATCCGTTTGTTCTGAGCTTTGTCTGTGACTGGCCACCCATCCCTGTGTTGGCCCTGGTGACCGTTAGCTCCATTTTGAAAGGAGCCTA